GTAGGCTTAGAGGTTTTATATCTTAAATAATATATAGAACATGATGTGGGATATCTCTACCAAAGAGATCCCAATTGTAGTTACTGTCAATATAAATGAAGTTGTAGACTGCAAGAAGAAGCTCTTCTTCTGTGATATCATGAATAGCCAAAAATTTTAAAGGACCTATATTGGTGAGCCGATTATCAAACTAGAAACAAACTTGCCTCCTATCATCAATCTCCTATCTAAGACCCATGTTCACATCCAGCTAGATTTTCTTAATATTGTGCTAGAGGATAGAACCATTTTTAATTCTACCCCTAAGTCCATTCATCTCATCCCAACCATATTTGCTTCTCAATACTCACACCCAAAGAAGGTCTAGTTGGGTAGCAAGCTTGCAACCAATTTTCATAAGGAAAGCTTTATTTTTAGGTTACAATCTTTTCAGAGCATATCCATTGCACGTTTGAGGTTGACAGAGCTCCTCCCAATCCACTAAACTAGTATTTCTTACATTATCTATAGAGCCCTATATAAAATCTCTGATCAACCTCTTAATATGATCACTAAGGCCCTTAGGCAATTGTTGTTTGCATAGCATAGAGCTGCAATACTTGTAGAATAGATATAGTAAGAGAAAGACACCCTGTAAGTGAAAGGGTCTTGGCAGCCCAACCCAATAGTCTCCACTTCACCTTCCCTCAATATAACCGTAGGTATCAATTTTAACTCCCTTATGTAAGAGAGGAACACTTAAATAGTTACCTAAGTAATCTTTTTTGCAATAACCTAACTCATTGTTACACCAATCTATTTGACTAGCCAAAGATATTTTTTTAGAGAAAAAGACTTGAATTTCACTATTACTAACGTTGTGGCCCAAGCTAATACAAAATCATCCTAGATCTTCTTGATAAGTTTGATTTAAGAGTCTGCAAAAGTGCTAAGAAGTACCAAGTCATTAGTTAAAAAAAAAAGAGAGACAAAGGTGGTCCATTTCTCCTTAATTTAATTGGTTTCCACTCACCTTGTAACTCTACTAATGACTTGAGAAAGTCTTTCCATACAAGGTACAAAAATATAAAGAGATAGTCGGTCACCTTGATGTATTCCTCTAGAGGGAAGAAATTCCCCAATTTGTTGCACATTCCAAATCACCCTCAACTTACAAGTCATGATGTAAACCATAAGAGCTTTAATGAATTTATCAGGTAGCCTAGTGTTATAGAGAGTATCTTCTATGAACTCTCATCTTAATCGATCGTAGGCTTTTCCTGGGTCAACCTTAACAACCATCTATCCCATATTTCTGTGTTTGCTTTTCATAAAGTGTGTGACTTCTTGAGCAACAATAATATTATTAGATATTTGCATGATTAGGAAGAATCAGTCCCGACAAGATTTTTTTAAGCTGATTTGCAAGAACTTCTATGATAATCTTATAAAGAATTGTGCACAAACTTATGGTCAAAACTCTTTCAAACGCTCAAGATTATCAACTATAGGGGTCAAAGTAATAGTTCATTTAATTCAGGCTCCAAAGCTTGCCCTTCAAAAACTTTGTTAACCATGGAGCAAATAAAAGTACCAGAGTCTCCTAATGATTCTGAAAAAGGCAGCATGAATCTCATCAATGCTACGGGTTTTAAGAGGCTTCATATCAAACGAAGCCTGACGAACTTCATGTAAAGAGATGCATGATCCCAATGAACTTAGAGAATTATTTGGCACCTTTAGAAACTCCCCCTACCAACATACAGAGGAACGATCTCTACTTCCCTTGAACAGAGATTTAAAAAAAAAAAAACTGAGCCCAATTGCTTGGAGTAGTTTCATTAGAACAACACTCTCCATCATCCCCTTTAAGTGCCAGCACCCTTTTCCTCCTAGTTTTTTGGCATAACCTTGGCGTGGTAATAAGTTGTATTGTGATCCCCAAAGTTAAGCCAATCACGTCTTGCCCATTGTGCCCACCAACAATGTTCCTACTCCAAAATCATCTCAAACTCCTTTTTTAGCTCCACCTCAAGTCTCGATAAGTAGGTAGAAGATTTAGTTTTAAGTGATTTTTGAATACCTCCAAGGCAAGCAGCGAGACATCTCTTACGTTTAGTAGAACTGCCAATCACATGTCTATTCCAAACTAGAGCACCGGCAATAAAGTTATTAACTTTTTTCCAGAGTAGTCTCGCTGCTCTTTCAGCTATCATGAGCAACCAATGCAAAAGAACTTGAGGTCTCCCACAATGCAAGATACTAAAAACTAGAAGTGCCGTGTTGAAAGTTGCAATGCTTCTGAATTTACATCAACAAAAGACGATGACCGGAATTACTTTAGGGTAAATGCCTCACAGCATTATTATTGGAAGTATTGATCCATTGCATATTCCTAGCCATACAATCAAGGCATTGCAAAACGTGCCCCTCTGCCGAGTAAACTTAGGCCAATAAAAGCCCAGATTTTACAACGTTAGCTCGTCTCAAACAAAAATCGTTGGAAAATATCACATCCTTTAGCTCTTTCATGAACACCCCCTACACGCTCAACACTGCCAAGAAAAGCATTGAAATCACCACTACAAATCCAAGGCTCGGATATATCAGCTGCAATGATTTTTAGATTATGCCAAAGGTCTTTTCGCAGACTCTGGTTCGAACTACCATGGATTGTACTTAACAAAAAACTTCCACCTTCGATCGCCGCGATAACACGTGCATGAATGAATTGTTTATGGTGAAAAAAACTTTAACAATAATATTATTATGCTAAAGGATCCAAATTTCACTCGAAAAACTTCTAGCTTCAAGTCTATTAGAAAAATCAAAAACATATTCATACAATAAAGTTTGCGTTGGTTTTAGTTGGTCAAAAGTTTATTTGATGAAAGCTTATTTAACAAAAATTAATTTAATAAAAGTCAGTTGTTATAACTAAATTTATATTTGAATATATTTTTTAAAAGTTCAATTGGTACATTAAAAGTTGTTTGGATTATGATGGTGAAATGTACTTTTAAATGTACAATTATCAAAAAGAATATTAATTTATAATAATTTATAATTTTTATTATATAAATAAAATATATTTGAAATATTTAAAAATGTGATGAAGATTTTAAATAACATAAAATTTAATCTATAATGCCAAAAACTTGATCTCTAGTTATTTATGCTTTTTTAATTTGTAATTTTAAAAAATGTGATAAAGATTTATAATTTTTATTTTACATTAATGCTATAAATTAACAAGATTAATTATTTAATTTATAACTTATAATGCTAAAAATATGATACCTAATTATTATTATTAAAATGATAATTATATTTTTAAGAAATTAATTATTTTTAAATAAAAGAATAAGATATTGAATTAAGATATTATAATTAAAAAACACCCAACTTTTCAAACCCACTTTTTAAAAGCTACAAACTGCAGCTTCCAATTTTTCACATCTGAATTTAATTAAGAAGTCCTTCCTAAAAGCACATTTAATTTAACAAAATAATTTTAAATAACTTTTCACATTTCAAAAATAAAAAAATATTTTTGAAATATAAAAAGTGAATTAATCAAACGGTGCAAAATCATCAGCCCTCTTCCTTGATACACGGGGTTCAACCAAAATCACAATAGAAACACAGTATTCCTTGGTAAAATTCACGAGGGTATTCAAAAAAAAAAATTATTATTAGCTGCCCCCAGGCAGTTCCAGCACGTAATGTTTAAATCCATAAAAAAGACAAATAAAAAACAATATTGCGCTATACAACCACACTTGAACCCCAGGGTCCACATCATCCTTGTTCTGTTCCACTTATGTTCTTGGGGTACTCGAAAGCACACCCGTCCTTGGTCACAGGTAAAGGAATGAGATCAGGAAAAGCCTCCTCCATATCTTTGGAAAGTCCCCTCGCAGCCTTCTGCTTCATCTTCAAGTTGTTCATTCTTGAGGCTTGGATCTTAATGCCATGCAAATAAGGTCTTTTATTTGCTCCTTTCCTGCAGAAACATTCCCCGGTAATATCCCTTCCGTGGCAAAAATATTATCAATATTATTACTAACACCCAAGGAATGGCGTTCCACGTCATTAGTTTGAGCCTCACGGATTTGGTAGGCCATTGAGTTATAAATCTTTTATTTGATCCTCAGCCGCAATGATTTGTGAATTCTCGCGATTCCCTTGTTCCACATGGCCCAATATTCCTTTCATTCTCACCCCAAGCCATGGGCCCCCGCGCTATCAATGACTTGATTTGCAACAGTTTATCCATTAAATAATTCTTGTGGCATACTCCATTTAGATTCACCCCTCTCATCCATTCCACATGGCTTAATATGGTTGCCTTCCTTTTCAGAGAGCCCTTTCAACTTCCCTAAGGTGCAATCTTCAATGAGTTACTTATACCTTATTCACTACGTGTGTTTAGATAAAAATCTTTTTAACTTCTTCTTCTTAAATTAAAATTAAGATTAAAAATAAAAGTCAAAAAATTAGAGAAATTAACATATTATGAATCTTATAAATATAAAAATAATTAATATTTAGTCAACAAAATATTTCATAGTCAAGTTTGCTATTTTATCCAGTCAAAAAAAAGTAGGAGTCTTATAATTTATTTTTAAATTATGACAAGATAAATATGCATTAATTATATAATTATATAAGTAAATATTTTTTTACACATATTACATTTTAAATAAAAAATATTAGAAATATTAGAATATATCATTTTTTTTCGTCAACAAAATTTCGCCCTCATTTGATGCATGGCAGCATGGGAAATGTACACATATTGATTGAGTCAGTAAAGTGATGGGAGAAAAAGTAAATTTAATATTTTCATAAGAGCATTTTAAAAAAATAGCATTAATTGCTTTTAAAAATCCGTTTCTTACATATAATAAAATATAAAATTTTATAAAAGACGCTTTATATTTTTTTTGGCCAGAAGACGCTTTATATTTATAACGGACGGTTTAATAAAAAAACAGAACTTATCACACAATGGCTATCTCGCCACAAATCCAAAATTCAAAGTCAATGAAAAGGCTCGCTTGAGTGAACAGAGAGCTCCGAGGGGAGAAAGGAAAGATTCTTGCTTCTGAAGAAAAACCCACACAAGCCATGGCTTCTCATTCTCACCCTTCCAGCCCTATCTGTTTCTTCAAGATCATCTTGAAATCCAATCTTGAATCCATTGTAAGCATTATTTCTCTCATTCTCTTCAAGCTTTTCTTTTCCCGTTTTCTTTATCCATGTTCGTAGTTTTTATTTGCCCCAAATGCGTGCAAAAGCTTGCTTCCTTTTTCTTCTGGGCTTGCTGATATGAAAAAGATGAACAGGGTTTTTTCCTTTTAATCCCCGTTTCTTTGTTTAAAGGAAAAAAAAACAATAATAATCGGAACCTTGAACCTCGCACTTTTTCCCCTTTTTTTGATTGACATGTATGGAATGGGCTATGCTTTCATTAGCAATCAAGTGGCAGAAGGCATTGCGCTTGAATTGAAATAGCTACATGGTAATTCATACGAAAGTACGTACATTTGAGGAGGTTGAATTAGCTTATCTTGGAGTCTTGAGTTTGAGCATCGGGATATGCAGTTATAACGGTTCCACATAGTTGGGGTCTGGATTAGTTTAAGTGGGACATGGTAATAACCCAGGATTCCAGGATACTGGTAGATGGAATGAGAATGACACACACACACACACACACACAGATGGCTGTTGTGAAATTGAAATGATATTGAAATATTTCCATTTTGACTCTAGACTAGCGCATTTCCTCTTCAATGTGTTTCCCTTAGAGGGATACGGCATGTTATGCTTATGGAAGAATTTGGTTATATGCTGCTTCTTAAAATTCAAAAAATTCAAAAGCCACCAACATGCTATCCTCTTGTAGATATGTGACAGAGTATGGCGGAATCGAAGTTAGAAGTAAAGTTTTGATTATGAATAAAGAACTTGTTGTGTTGTACATGTAGTAGATATGTGAACTTATATATTTGCATAATGAGTTACTAACAAAACACAACTTCACAGAGGATTCCAAACAAATTTACTGGGAGATATGGAAGTGGTTTGTCAAACCCAGTGTTTCTAAAGCCTCCTGATGGGAAAGAGTGGAAAATGCATCAGACAAAACATGACAATGAGATTTGGTTTCAAGAGGGTTGGAAGGAATTTGCCAGCTTTTACTCTTTGGATGAAGGGCATTTGGTTTTGTTCAAATATGAAGGAACTTGTCAGTTTGATGTACACATATTCGATAAGAGTGCACTAGAAATAGACTATCCTTCTTCATCTAAGAATAATCTCAGTGATGATACACTTGAAATCTTGGATGAGATGCCTCCAAACCAAAAGGCTACGCACAAAACGCCTTTGTCATCTTCTAGGCCTTGTAAGAAAATGAGAAGTCTGCAGAATTTGCCGGTGGCCTTCAAAACTAATCCCGGCCAGTGTCAAGGAACAGAGTTCCAGAAATCAACCAATGCAGAATTGAAGCTTTGTAAGCAGGAACCAGAGGGTATGTGTTTCTTGTTCTGCTTTTCCTTTTTGATTTGTGGATTGAATTGTGTCTTGTTTGGAATGGAATGAGTTTGGCTTAAAAATCAAAAGGCTATATGACGCTGCTACTCAAAATTGTCACAGATGATGGGGAATCAGGAATTTTTACCAAGAGTACTGCCTGCTTGAATTCTGAGCAAAGAAGGAAGAAAGCGACAACTACCGTGGAAAAGATCAGAGCTTTAATCAGTGCCAGTTCTTTCAAATCTGAAAATCCCTTTTTCAAGGTAGTCATGCAGCCTTCACATGTCAGTGGTAAATGTTACTTGGTGAGCCTTCTAACAGAATCTAGTTAGCTTCATCTGAAATGTGGACACTTACTTGAAGCCTTTGGTTGCAGCAAGAATTAAATTCTCTTGTGTGATCTGAAAATTTTTTTAATCTTCTCCACAGGTGATGCCTATAAAATTTGCTAAAAGACATTTGAAGAAAGAGTGTGGTGTTGTGCAACTTGAGGTCTTGGATGGGAGAACTTGGCCTGCTAGGTATAAGATTCCCATAATTGGAGTTGGATGGGAGAAATTTGTAATGGATAATGGTTTGAACGTGGGTCATGTTTGTGTTTTTGAAATGATCGGTCGCACATTCAAAGTACATATTTTCAGAGACGATGAAGAAGGTATTATTGACTTAGTTAATTGGTTTCTCTATGGATAAGTTCTGATGAATTCCATTTACTTCACTGTGGATGGATGATTTCCAGTTAAAAGCAGAAAGAGGACTTACAATCTTGCATTCATTTTCAGGAAATCTGAATGTTATTCCTTTTAAAGATGAGCAAATCAGCAGTTTGCAACAGACTCCTCTTGAAGAGGCTAGCTCTTTCAAATCTGAACATCCTCATTTTATGGTTAAGATGACACATGCTTACATTTTTCGTGGCTCAAACTTGGTAAGTCTTTTTTCCTCTTAATGTAGTTGTTGTAGGATTTGTACAAAATTGTTTGATTTTATTAATAATTAATAAGCTGAACAAAAAAGGTTCATGATAGCCTTTTCAATTTAGTTCAATGGCAAGATGACTGATGTCTTGTTTATTCATTTATGGAAAAATTATTCTTTTGATCCCTATTGTTTTTTAACTCAATTTTTAATTTGGTCTCTATGATTTTAAAATCTGTAATTGTTCCTTATAACTTATTTACTTTTTAATTGAATTACTATTATCAAAAGATTTTGACAACATTTTGTTAAAGTTTGTTGATGTAACTAACTATATATTGCTATAGTGATCTAAATTTATTTGATTTTTGCTCGTAAAACAGGCAAAAGCATGATAATAAAGTAAGCTTAATCACATATTCAGCAAAATGTTAACAGAAAATTGACGAGAGGGACTACAGTAAAAGTTATTTCAACTCTAGGGACTCAATTATGAAATTTCAACTATAAGTACCAAATTAAATAGAGAGCTGGCCAAAAAAATGAAAAAAATTAGTACCAAATTAATAACTGAGTGAAACTTTGGATCCAATGTATGAATTTTCCTTCTCTACTACCACTACTACTATTTTTTTTTTTTTTGGTGCAACTACCACCCCTACTATTTGCTATACTTATTATTGCATTGAATGTCTTTATGACTGAAAAATAAGAGTATAAACAGATAGCTCGGTGGCAAATTCACTCGTTTATATTAAAAATAGCAATTCTAAATTTAGAAGTAACAAATTTTTCTATTTCACTGTATTGAACTTGGGCCAAAGAACTTAAATTTACCCTAGAAGCTAAAATGAAATATAATATTTGGCAAGAATTCACCCAAAAAGTTTGATTAGCAAGTAATGTCTCTGAAAAAGTAAGAAAAAATATAAAATTAATTTTTTAAGTTCTTATAGTTTTTCTTAATTTTGAATTAGATTTTATTTTTTTTAATTAAATCCTTATAATTTGATATACTAGATTTATTAATCCTTAAAGATTAAAGTCTTTGAAGTTTTCCTTTAAAAAAGGAAATTAAGAACTTTTATATTTTTATTAAAAGATTATATACATATAAAATTAATTACATGATTTTTATAACTTAAAATTTACATAATTAGGTTATGTCTTTGAAATAATATATATTATTTTCATAAAAATTTTAATAAAAATATAGACATTGTATCAAATCAATTTTTTTTCTTTTTGGGCTAAAAGTATTAAATCAAATTTTCTATAAGCTTCAAAATTATATTTGTTTTGGGAAAGTTAATAATTTTAACTTTGAGGGATTAACACATTTAATGGATCAAACTATGATGACTTGATTAAAATAAATAAACTATAAGAAATTAATTTAAAATTAAGGAAAATTATAAAGACATGCGGATTAATTTTCTCAAGAGAAAAAAAAAAATGACAGGGTCATCTCAGCTAATGCCCGAAGTGTTCTTTGCATAATTGAAGCTAAGTGTCATATTGTGTCTAATTCTAAATGTTTGATATTCTAAAATGCTTATTTGCTCTCACTAGAACATTAGCAGTGTAAGGTGTTTTTCCCCCCCTTCAATTGGCGATGATCGAAAGAAACAAAAAAGACATGCTGACATTAACATGACTCATATGTTTCATAAGTGTTTTGCCTGATAATCATTGTTTTCACCTTCTCTGGCAGCATGTGCCAACAAAATTTGCAAGAACACATTTTGATAAGAGTACTAAGAGCGCCAAGCTTGTTGTAAAAGATGTAGCTTGGCCTATTGGTTGCATATTCAGAAGAGATTCTCATGGATGTCAACTTCATGAATTTTCTTCTCGGGGATGGAAGCAATTTCGTGCAGATAATGATTTAAAAGTAGGAGATGTTTGTGTCTTTGAGCTCATTCCAGAAACAGAGTTCAAACTTACATTTCAAGTTACAATCTTTGGAGCCACTAAACACCCAATTCAATCATCCAACTCAGCTTAAAAAACCATTGTTTTAAGATCTGGACCATCATACTGGTTGCATCAACCGTTAACACCTATTGTCATTTAGTGTATCTCTCTCTCTCTCTCTCTCTCTCTCTCACTAAAAATGACCATTCTTAGCGTCACCCTCTTATTAGTCATATGAGAGACATTCAAGATCTCATTGAATGGCTCATTGCACATTCTTTTCATGTAGATTTAGACATTAGGCTATTAAAAAACATTGCCTATTGAAAGACCTCACACTCAGGTGTGAAGAATTATTGTTATATGACATAACCTAATTTGCTTTCCTTTGCACAACTTACATCATGGCCCTATAATTCAAAAAATAGCACACATGCAATTTATTTTTAAGCCAAGAATAAATATACAATATTATAGTATTATAAACAACCTTACGAATCATGAATAATTTGTGACACTCTATACAGGAATTTTATAATTCATTTTTAAATTATGACAAGATAAATATACATAAATTGTATAAGTAAATACTTTTTTTTCAGTTTTATTGTAAGATACTTTCATGGTTTTATGCATATTAAGAAAAATTAATTTTTATATCATAAAAAAATAAGATATATTCTTTTTTTTACTTTTAAAAATAATATAACTATATTAAATATTTTCACATTATTAATAAAGGGTAAAATTGGAAGAAGTTGGAAACATTAGTTTAAATATCACAAGGTGTTTTATATTTTAAATTAAAAATTATTTTTAAAATGTGTTTTTACAAATAAGAGAGGGGAATGTATATTTTGTTTTACTGATATTACTTTTAAATATAAAATATAATAAATATTATAATATCATTTTTTTCCAACAAAATTTCGCCCTCATTTAATGCATGGCAGCATTATAAATGCCCACATATTAATTGAGTGAGTAAAGTGATGGGAGAAAAAGTAAATTTAATATTTTCATAAGAGTATTTTAGAAAAATAGCATTAATTGCTTTAAAAAATCTGTTTCTTACCCAACAAGATGGAAGATTTTATTGTAGTATGCTTAAAAGTAGGGGTGTAAACGGGCAGGTACGGTCCACCCGTGACTGTACTCGTTACCCTCCCGTTATGGGCAAATGGGTGGCCACCCGCCTGTACCCGCTTATACCCGTTTGTACCCATTTTTAAATGGGTGCAAACGGGTCTGGGCGGGTTTGGGTCACCCGTTTACCCACAACACCCATTTTCTTAAAAAAAAAAGGAATAAAAATATATAATTTTCATTCCACTAGAACTTAACATAAGTGCTCAAGTAGCATCATTCTAAAAGTTTAAATCTCTGAATAATATAAGGATAAATATTTTAACAACAAATACTAAATAAACAAGGATCAATAATTTTAATTTTTAAAGTGAAAACCCAGTCTCATCAATCCTCATTTATCTTCTTCAGAGTCACTTGATACAGCAGAAGATTGAGCTATTGACTCTTCCTCTACAAGACAAATTAAAACAATTAGATTAGTAAATAATAATATATATTATATAATATGGAGAATTAAAATGAATATAATTAAAATAACTTATTCATATTATTATTACCATCAACAGCACGTAAAGTCTCATCAAAATAGTCAATATTAATCTCTTCCAATGGGGTGCATGATGTTGATGATAACCAATTCTGTGTGCAAGTGAGTGCCTCAGCCATTTTTGAAGATAAGGAACTCCTGAAAGCATCTAGTACTCGACCCCCAGTACTAAAAGCAGATTCCGAAGACACTATGGAGACAGGCATAGCTAACAAATCACGTGCAATCAAACCTAGAACTTTATACTTGGAAGAATTCACTTTCCACCATGCCAAAATATCAAAACTATCATCACAAGCATCAACTAACTCTACATTTAAGTACTCTTCCACCTCTGAAATTGGTTTCTTTGGACGCTTACTCATTGCAGTGGCTAAAAAATCTTGCATTGCCACATCAATAATTTTTTTAGAAGATAGAGGAACTTGCTTCCCTCTACTACTGGCACTACTATCCCCCATCTCTATACCAGTTTCAGATGGTTCACTACCACTGGCTGTTAGAGTTGCAGAGTACTCATCAAACAAGCGATGCAAAAACCCCATAATTTTCTTTTTCATCATTTCCCTCTTCGTGTAATCACCAATAAAATGTTTAAAAGCAACTTCAACATAAGAAAATTTGTATATAGGAAGAAGAATCACAGCTATTACTAATAATGGATTCATGTTTTCTGCCTTTCCCCAGTACTTGTCATACTTACTTTGCATCCTTTCTGCCATGTCACTCAATAAAGAATTAGATTCAACTGCAATTGAATCCAATCGTGTTTTGATTGCAACTATATTTTGAAAGCATGTGTTTGATGTGACATAATTTGATCCAGAAAATTGAAGAGTCATAGTATAGAACAACTCCAAAAAGGTAAGAAATTCCTTTGCCACACTCCAATCATAAGCATTAGGAGGTTTAACTGTACTTTCATCACCATCATGATCACTAAGCTCATCTTCATCCTCCTCTTCCATCCTATCAACAAAGCTTGAGCTGGAAGACAATTTAACTTTCCTTTTGAAGTAGTTCTTGTAATCTTAATCCTCATCCTCCATTCTATCAAAGACCTTAGTGAACTTAACGGCATTCTGCAACATGATATATGTTGAATTCCACCTATTATGACAAGAAAAAGATTTAAATGTTAGGAAAAATTACATATCATAATGCAAACAATCATAATTTAATAATAATATAAATTACCTAGTGGGACAATCCATGGTAAGAAGATTCTTTGAATCAATTCTCAATTTTTTAACAAGCTCTTTGAATTTTTTAAGCCTACTAGGAGAAGATCTAACAAACTTGATTGCATGCCGAATAAGTTCAATAGATTGATTCATATCTTTAAGGCCTTCTGAAACAATTAAATTCAAAATATGAGCAGCACACCGCATCTGCAAGAATTCTCCATCACAAACTAGACCTCCCAAATCCTTTAAATGCTTCTTTAAAAATACAATGGCAGAATCATTATAAGAAGCATTATCAACTGTAATTGCAAATACTTTCTCAATACCCCAATAAAATAAGCATCCCTCAATTTCATTGCCAATGGTGTCCCCTTTATGATTTTCTACCACACAAAAATTCAAAATTCATTTCTATAATGTCCATTCTTCATCAATCCAATGAGCTGTCAAACACATGTAGTTGGAATTTTGAATTGAAGTCTAACAATCTGTGGTGAGTGATACACGAACTTTAGATTTCTTAAAATACCTCTTCAAACGTCTTGCTTCTTCTAGATATATCTTGTAGCACAACTTAGCCATAGTAGTGTGAGAAGGGCATGTAAATCTCGATTCAAGCACTTCCAACATTTTTTTAAAACCTTGCCCTTCCACAACTCGAAATGGCATCTCATCCAAAATGATGAATTCAGCAACTGCTTTTTTGCATCATTCTGCATTATACGGTTGATGAGTCATTGATTTATTAAAAGAAGCAGAGAATAAGGACTGTCCTGCCTTGGCTTTGTTTGGATTCTTTGGGCAAGATTCAAAATGTCGCCAAAGGTTCTTAGTCCCAGTTTTAGAAGAATGGCCTGCAAAATTCTTTCCACAATAGTTGCATTTAGCTCGATGCTCACCTTTTTTATTTATAAATTTTTCATAATGATTCCACATTTCAGATGTTGCACTTCTTTTTCGTTTAGGAGGTGGAGCATCTTCAACTTGGGAAGCTCTAGGTTCAAAAGGTGCTGTTGAGATGGTGGTGGTATTGGGAGCTTTAAATTCATGTGCCCCTTCCATAGCTTGCACATTTTTCATAGTAACTTTAAAAGTAAAAACTATACAGCAACCAAATCAAATCAATCACAACACATTTGGTACTAGGTACATCACATTAACCAAAATATCAACAAAATTATAAGATAAGTTATACAATAATACATTCAAAATGGCCATAAACATCAGATCGCAATCAGTGCTTCATGTCCTTAATCATGGCAGGACCATATCAGTTCATGCTAGAAAAGCCATGCACCAGACAAATCAACACATAAGTAAATGAGCAAAAAAATTATGATTCATAGAAGCAATGGTTTCTGAGCATTGATACAGCATTTAGACGGCATTAACTTGCTATTGACTGCATCAAACATCAATTACCACATTCAAATATGCAGAATTTTATTTTTCTTTCTATTTTTCTATTCAGCAAGTCAAAACCACAGAAAAGAAGCAATTATCAACAGAGGAGCCTAGAGGTCGAACCTAGAGCTGGAGCATGCTGCTGCGTTTGTATGCGGGCGTCTGCTAGCAGAGTAGAGCTGAGGTCGATGCTGGAGGTGGAAGCCTAGAGCGTGTGTCTGCGTGCGTGCGTGTGCTAGCTAAAGCCGCGATGAAGAAGGACTTGAATGTTGCGTCTGCTAGCTGGAGGCTTGGAGCTGGAAGAAGGACGAGAATCTCACACAAGCCGCGATGAAGATCAGGTGAACAGTGGAGAAATTAGCCAGGCGAACTTGCGAAGTGGTGGACGCCGGACGAAACGACAGGGCAGACGAAGATGACGCCGGACAGAACACCGATAATAGCTGAAGCAATCTCAACTCTCACAGGCGAAGATGAAGATGATCTCACGGCATCACACTGGTTACGGTACGGGTAGATGAATGATGAAGCGAGGCCGCGAGGTTTTTGATTTCTGAAGCAGTGGAGCTTAGGACTGGATTGATTTGGAGTTTTGGACAACTGGACAAGGTCACGAAGCGTGGGTTCTAATCTGACTCTAGAGCTTGGACTGGATCACTGTGGACGGTAGCAGTTGCACTAGCAGACCACTGGATTGAAGTTTGCCAAAAAAAAATATAATATATATACGGGCGGGTATGGGCCACCCGAGAGTTAACCCGTTACCCGCCTGTTTATACTTATACAGGTATTACCCGCCCATACCCGTTTTCCTTCCCTCACTAAATGGGTATGGGTTGACCCGTTTCTAAACGGGTAGGGTGGGTTTGGGCGAGTTGATGGGTTTTCGGGTATATTGCACACCCCTACTTAAAAGCAAGTCGAGGAAGGCAATAGAAAAGCAAAATTCAAGCTGGCGCTGTGGGAAAAATGAAAAGGCTTGCTTGGATGAACAGAGAGCACTGAGGAAGGAGGAAAGATTCTTGCTTCTAAAGAAAAGCCCATACAAACAATGGCTTCTCATTCTCACCCATCCAGGCCTATCTATTTGTTCAAAATCATCTTGAAATCCAATCTTGGATCCATTGTAAGCATTCTTTCTTTCATTCTCTTCAAGCTTTCTTTTCCCATTTTCTCTCTCCATGTTCGTAGTTTTTATTTGCCCCAAATGTGCGCGAAGGCTTGCTCCTTTTTTCTTCTGGGCTTGCTGCCATGAAAAAGCTGAACAGGGTTTTGCCTTTTAATCCCCGTCTCTTTGTTTATAATAACAATAATAATAATAATAATAATAATAATAATTGGAAACTTGAACCTCGCAGTTTTTCCCCCTTTCCTGATTGACATATATGGAATGGGTGATTCGCCTCTGAATCAGCTCTGATCGATCTTTTATATGCTTGCATTGGCAATCAAGAAGTAGAAGACAATATTGTGCTTGAATTGAAATAGCTACATGATCATCCTTAAGAATGTACGTACGTCATATACGTATATATATAGAGGGATAACAAAAATTTGGTCCCTGTAATTGTAACATGTTTTGGCATGAGTCTTTATAGTTTTTTTCATTGTTCTAGGCACTCTAGTCTATCCTGTCCACAACATTAATCCATTTATTTTGAATATACCCAAAAAAATGACGAGGTGACACTAATGCCCTAATAACCTTTGATTAAGTGGGGTCACTTTCGAGCTGTCTTTGTCATTTGAGATTTGGGTCCTTTTTTGCCCTTCTGTATGACAGGTCAAAAAATTTTAAAGTGCCACATCAAGGTCGTATTCAGTATATTCAAAAGTAAAAAGACTAATATATAGGATAAAATAGAGGGACATGAAATAATGAAAAAAATTACATGGACTCATACCAAAATACAATAAAATTATAGGGATTAAAAGTTATATTTTTTCATATATATGGAGATATATCTATATATATATATATAGGGAAAGAGATGGCTGTTGTGAATTTTTTTTTTTTTTTGGGTAGAAGGCAACTTGAAATTAAATAACAAAAATTACAGCAGCAAAGTATGTTAATAAGACACCGATGTCTAGCTGTTGTGAAATTGAAATGATTTATTCATTCTAGAGTCCAAGCTACTTGAGACAAACATCAGAACATCGCATTTCCTATTCAATATTGCATCTTAAAGTTCAAAAGCCTTCAGCATTCTTTTGCTCTTATAGACGTGTGACAGAATCAAAGTCAGAAGTAAAGTTTTGATGAGGAATAAAGAACTTGTTGTGTTGTACTTGTAGTTCATATGTGAACTTACTGCATGTTTGGATTGACAAAAAATCGATTATTTGGGGCCAAATAATCAATTTTTCTAACAATTACCCAAACTGCCAAAAAAATCTTATAATTGATTATTGAGCCAAAATCACATTTTGAAATAAGTTCTGATAGGTTGCTTATAAATTCAATTTTACTGTTAAATAATATATTTTACTTCTTAAAAAAATTTAACAAATTTAATAATATTAAATATAACTTTATCAATAATTTAATTTTAAAAAGTAATGTCTTTTATGGTAATTTGTACAACTGAAATCAATTTCAATATCCAAATAAATTGCGTTATAATATAATAAATTATAATTAAAATTAATCATATTAATTCATTATTTTCATAATCAGTTATGTCTAATTGAAATTCAAATGGCCCTTGCATATTGGCATAATGAGCTACTAGCAAACACAACTTCACAGAGGAATCCAAACAAATTTACTGGGAGATATGGAAGTTGTTTGTCAAGCCCAGTGTTTCTAAAGCCTCCTGATGGGAAAGAGTGGAAAGTGCATTGGACCAAACATGATAATGAGGTTTGGTTTCAAGATGATTGGATGGAATTTGCTAGCCTTTTCTCTCTGGACGAAGGGCATTTGGTTTTGTTCAAATATGAAGGAACTTGTCAGTTTGATGTACTCATATTCAATAACTGCGCGCTAGAAATAGACTATCTTTCTTCATCTAAAAATAATCTCAGTGATGATACTGTTGAAGCCTTGGATGACATGCCTGCAAACCGAAAGGCTGTGCGCAAAACACCTTTGTCATCTTCTAGGCCTTGTAAGAAAATGAGGAGTCTGCAGAATTTGCCGGTGGCCTTCAAAACTAATCCCGGTCAGTGTCAAGGAACAGAATTCCAGAAATCAACCAATGCAGAATTGAAGCTTTGTAAGCAGGAACCAGAGGGTATGTGTTTCTTGTTCTGCTATTCCTTTTTGATTTGTGGATTGATTGTGTCTTGTTTGGAATGGAATGAGTTTGGCTTAAAAACCAAAAGGTTATATGACATTACTGCTAAAAAATGTCACAGATGATGGGGAAGCAGGAGATTTTACCAAGAGTTCAACATGCTTGAATCCAAGCATAGAAGGAAGAAAGCATTGACTACTGTGGAAACGATCAGAGCTTTAATCAGTGCCAGTTCTTTCAAACCTGAAAATCCCTTTTTCAGGGCAGTCATGCAGCCTTCACATGTCAGTGGTAAATGTTACTTGGTGAGCCTTCTATCAGAATCTATTTAGCTTCATCTGAAAATTGGACGCTTATTTGAAGCTTTTGGTTGCAGCAAGAATTATCTTTTGTGATTGAGGTTTTGAAAACCAGATTGGTTCTTAAATTGGAAAGATCAGTTCGGTTTTTATAGTCTAATTGGTTAGATCAGCAATCAAGCCAATAGCATAAAAATTAAATAAAAAACAATATTAAATGCATATAATATATATATATATAAGAAATAAATTCAAAATATATACATGTAGTTATAAATTTAGACAACATGACCATAAATCTACAATATTATAAATCATAATTTTAAAACTTGTCAAATATAGATGGATTTTGGTTAAATCAAATGTACATGTAGATATAATCTATTTTGGTCCCAATCGAGCTGTTAAGGGCTCTGGTCCATGGTCCAACTGTTAGTCTGTTCCAATTCTTAAAACAATGCTTTTGATGCCAATGAAATTTTTGAATCTTCTCTTCACAGGTGGTGCCAACAAATTTGCTGAAAGACATTTGAAGAAAGACTGTGGTGTTGTGCAACTTGAGGCCTTAGATGGGAGAACTTGGCCTGCCCGGTATAAGATTCCAAGAATCGAAGATGGATGGGAGAAGTTTGTAATGAAAAATGATTTGAAATGGGTCAAGTTTGTGTTTTTGAGCTGATCGGTCACACATTCAAAGTACATATTTTTAGAGATGAAGAAGAAGGTAATATCAACTTAGTCAATTGGTTTCTCTATGGATAAGTTCTCTCATGAATTCAATCACTTCACTGTGGATGATTTCCAGTTAAAAGCAGGAAGAGGACTTGCAATCTTGCAGAAGATCTGAAAGCTATTCCTTTTAAAAAGGAGCAGATCAGCAGTATGCAACAGACTAGTTCTTTCAAATATGAAAATCCTCATTTTATGGTTAAGACGACCCATGCTTATATTCATGGCACATCAAACTAAGTAAGCATTTTTGTCCCTTTTAATGTAGTTGTCAGAGTATGTTTACAAAAATGTTTTATTTTATTGATATTTAATAAATTGAACGTGAGAACTTGGCATAACATAGGCTTAAATAAGAATTGAAAAAGACCTGCTTGACTGATAGTCTTTTCAATTTAGTTAAAGGGAAAGATGACCAAGGCTATATTTATTTATTTATGAAAAAATTATATTTTTTATCCCCGTAGTATTATTCAGTTTTTGAAAAATGTTGCTGGTGTAACTATTGGTATATTGTTTTGAGGAAGCAACAAGTCAAGTTCATATGTAACATTTCTATGTGGTTTACTTTTTTGTGATTTCTCATTTTTTTTGTTAAAAACAATTCAGCCTACAATGTTAATAAATATACATAACCATTTTGTCTAGCTCATTTTATTGAACGTAATTTGGCCAAATAGCCTAACTTTACGGTTGGATTGATAGGGATTTGGGTTTGAATTTGTAACAAATTCCCAATTTGGATGCATGAAAATATCAAATCTAAATCCATTTTTTTTATTATAATTCTTTTATAATTTCAAATTTTCTCTAATAATCTCGTTATTTGAAATTCTAATCATCTCAACCCTCTCTTTCTCTTTATGTTTTTACTGTTGGTGCCTCTACTACTCTCACCTCTTCCCTCGTCTCTTGTTCTCATCTTTCACCAATTAAAAAATTTTTGTAAACCTATCACTCTCAATCTTCCATTCTTGTTTCAAATTTCAGCTCATTTTTCCTTTTCCTTTGAAATTTTTTTGTACTATCCAGACAAATAATTTTAAGCAAATGAATTTTAAATGTGAAATTTTTAATGTAAAATCCAAATGCTACCAAAGTATTTTATCAAAAACTAAAATGGAAAACAATATTTAACAGGAGTTTACCCTAAAAGCTTTGATTACCAAGTAATGCCTCTGAAGAAGTAGAAAAAATTGACACTCCCATCTCCGCATCAATGTTTGGAAGTTCCATGCGATGAAAGTGTCACATTGTGTCTAATTCTAAATGTTTGACATATGCTGGCATGAACATGACTCCTTCGTTGGAGTGTTCTTGCTTCATAATCAGTGTTGAGTAGCTTTCTAATCAGTGTTTTCTCCTTCTCTGGCAGGATGTGCCATCACAATTTTCAAGAACACATCTTCATGACTGTACTAAGAGTGTCAAACTTCTTGTACAAGATGCAGATTGGCCTGTTGAGTACGTAGTTAGAATAACTTATCCAGGAAGTCAAGTTCGTGAATTTTCTTGTGGATGGAAGCGATTTTGCCAGGATAATGCCTTGAAAGTAGGTGACGTTTGCATCTTTGAGCTCATTCCGGGCGTCAAACATACATTTTGAGTAATAATTTTACGAGCCACAAAACACCTAGTTTACTCCATGAGCTCAGGTAAAGAGAAAAACCAATTCAGTCACAAAATTATGGATTATTCTGTCTGATCTGCTGGACAATAATTCTGAAACTTTCTTCAAATCACACTTTCAAGGGTGGAGAATAGACTCAAATCCTCTTCAGTGACTCAAAACTTACCAGTCGATTTCGAATGTTTTATTGCTTTCAATTTTCTTTTGACATTGTGCAGTTGGGGAGCAGGAAGCCAACACAGTTCATTGCAGCTTAGGTCCTGAGATTCACTTCTGAGAATAACTTCTTTCGCTGTATATGGACTTGTCATTTGCTGAACACCAGTATGGTTTAATTAGGGAACAGAATATGTTTTGCTTTGTGAGACATAAAGATCATTAGCTCTTGGCGTATTTCATGAACAACTTTGGAGTACAACCATATACACTATATGAAATGCTTGTTATCAAGGTATTGAAAGCTCATGTCGGTCATTAAACTAGTCAAAAGACACTCATTCAAGGATTAATAATCAAAACTATAATAAACAATCTGTCATAAATAAAAAATTTTATTAAATTGGTTATGACATTGATCTAATGATTTATTGGTTCAATTAAATAGGTTGACTTAAATTTTCATACTATGCTTGTTATAGTATGCCAATCCTTACTTTCTTTTACGATCACAAACTTTGCATGATATTTAATGTGTCAATTGCAGTTTAGCTAACACAAGTCAGACTAATATTGTATTTGAAACCATAGTTCTAGTTACTTATAATATGTTAGTAACACAAGTCCTTGCAAATGGGGAAAAGGGAGGGGGCTTTTGAATGTGGGTTTTTTTTTTTTTTGGTGCACAAATATTTTTTTATTAGAGACAATTTTGATTGAGCTTGAGGCATAGTCAAAACATAAAATGTGATGTGTAAAATTAAAATAATAGTTGACGACATGGCAATTAGTGATCATTAGTGACCATCATGGGGAATTAGACTCTATGCTCTATAAATACTTGGGTATTCTCAATTGTAATTAGTTCTTGACATCAATGGAGAGTATTATTCAACGTCTCTCTCTGTCTCCCGTCGCTTTCCCTCTAAGTATCTTCTATTTCTCTTCTCTTCTATATTCTTTACCTTTCTTCATATCAATGGCATCAAATCCAGTCTATCATTGGCTCTTCAAGCTGGGCTCAACAACACATGGTGATAGAGACAAGATCACTAAATGACATGTAATCTTTTATTATCTTAATTCTACATTTCAAAATGTGAGTGCATATCTCAATAAAAATTTAAACATTGATTTATCACGTTATAAGAAACTAACATAATGGTCATGTTAGTTGAATGTGAAAGCTTTTGTTTTTATAAATTGGTTTGAATTTTTTTCAGAGATGTTTTGGCTGGATGGCATTTTTCACCAACCATCTGTCAAAAGTCATTGTCCCACTAAAAAAAAGAAAAATTCTTGTCATAACCTTATTCATCATAAAAAAAAATAATGAAATCACCTTTCTTATTTTTTCCCCCATATCAATCCCGCTAATGTGAGAAAGGTGTATAACTATAATATTGTATCAAATTAAATGTTATAAAACTCAGGTTAAGGTATTTTTAAGTTCTTTAATTTTATATAGAGTTTTAATTTGATTTTTTAATTTTATAAAGTATTTTTTAGTCATTTAATCCTAACATTTTTAGTCTCAAATGATTATTTTTGTATCTATTATTGTTATTTTGAAAAAAATTAAATTTAATATATCAACATTTAAAAATATTTTGTAAATATTTTAATTATTTAAAAATATCAATTTTTAATTTTATAAAGTATTTTTTTTGTCATTTAATCCTAACATTAGTCTCAAATGATTATTTTTTGTATCTATCATTGTTATTTTGAAAAAAAATTAAATTTAATATGTCAACGTTTAAAAATATTTTGTCAATATTTAAAAGTTTAATATAAAAAATTATTGAAATAAAATTAACAGTATTAGGGTTAAATGATTAAAAATATACTTTATAAAGTTAAGAAATTAAAATAAAATGTTGTGTAAAATTAAAGGATAAAATATATACTTTAGCCTAAAACTTACAGGAATATAAGCAACTTTGTAAGGGAAATTTAGAGAGAAAGAAGAGAGATTGCTTTTCATTCACCTTGAATCAGAGATGTGTATGCTTTAAGCTATTTATAGGCTTCTAATTATTAAACACTAACTCAAGAAATTTAACAAATCCATAAACTAATTTATTTTTATGTACATTTTCTTGAATCAAAGTATATTTTATGCGTTTGATACATGTGATTGTTTTTGCACTTAATAGCAAGGCTCTTTTATATACATTCTGATTCATAAATTTCATAAATTAAATCTTTGAAATTCATGAGTTGGGAGATTATACACTTCTCCAAAATATGATAATATTTATAAAACTTCCCTTGGATATCCATGATTGACTAAACAATGTGCATATTTTAAAACCTCTCTATGAAAAATCCATTGAAACAAAAAAAAAAACTCGTTAAGAAAAAAAATTACACTATTTAAACACTAATTGAAGTTGTTTCATTATGACATTCTCAATCATTGTGAACTTATAATTATAAGGCCTGGCTTTATTCTCTGCGCCTTCCTTTCTCCTCCCCTCCACTACACCTAGTAAAGATCTGGAGGACTGTCCAGATTTAACGTTTTATTTTTTTTTATTTTACATTTGTTAAAATAAAAAATATACATAAATTACAAAAAAAATTAGTAAAACTATTCACCAATTTGGCCGATCTAAATTTAATATAGATAATTTAAATCTAATTTTTTTAATTTTTATAATTGATTATTCAGATATATTCTAGATAGTATAACTTTAATATTAATTTTTTTATAATTTTATTTTAATAAATGTAGAACAAAAAAATTGAAATATTAACTACGGACGATCAAGATCTTTACTTTGTGTAATAGATAGAAGGAGGAGGGAAAGCTCCAGGAAGGAAAGTCATTGAATTTTATTTTTTTTTGGACTCGATAAAAGACTCAATTTAATTGTTTCAAAATATTTTGTTTATTGCAGTGATTAAAAATATAATTATTAATATATATAAAAATATGATATACTTTACCAAATTTACTTATCATTCATCATGAGTACATCACATTAATGTGCGAATAATACTTTAAAGCCCTTAAGAGAGTGTTTGGTTCAAAGGAAAGTGAGGCGAGAGAAGGAATTTTAATAGAAAGAGCAAGGGATAAAAGGGAGGGGAGGGGGGAGATATTTAAATGAATACTTGTTTGGTTTAGAAAAGAAAGGGAGGAGAACCAATAATAAGTTGATAATTTTATTCTTATCAATTTTAAGTTAATTTTTATTTTTTATTTTGATTTTTTAGTAAAAATAGTTGTATTATATTTTAGTAACTTTATTGTTTCAAGGATATGAATTTATATTAATGATATTTTTTTGAAGAATAAATATATTAATATTATATTTTATCAGTGTATCTAATGAAAAAATATTAAAATTTTAGACAATAAAAATTATACATTAATTTTTATAAAGTGATAAAATTTATTTAATTATAAGAGTGGGGAAGATAATGTATAATTTTTTTTATATAAACATTATAATTTTTAAACTAATAAAAATAATTTAGTTATAATTTTCTTTCTCATCTTCCCTCCAAAAAAATCCTCAAATTGGAGGAAAGGGTTAGGAGGGGAGGGGAGGGGAGGAGAATTTCTCTCGTCCCTTCCCCTTCAATTTTTTAACCAAACAAGGAGCTTTTTTTTTTAATTAAATACCAACCAAACAAAAGAATGGGAGCAACTCCCCTCATGTCTTCTCCCCTTTTCTCTAACCAAACACACTCTAAGAGTAAAATATAAAAAATACTATATCAAATAGTTTTATAGTTTTTTTGGAAGACAAATAAAATATATGCTAATTAAATTTAAAAATATTTTACATTTTTAATTTTGTGATTTCGTGATTTCCCACCAAGCTATTTATATACTAATTAAATTTAAAAATAGTACCCAAATGGCATTTGCAAGTAAAGCCGAGAATACAAGTTGGCCTACATAACCAGTCATAAGGGTTAGGTTAGGTTGAAAAAAAAGATCCAAATAAAAATGAATTTTTTCTTGCCTAAACCATAAAACCCATGAATCATATAGGTTAACCCTGATGAGTTAAGGTTGGCCCAATTAACCCATATTATTTTTAAGAAAATAAAAAAGGAAAAAAGGGGGAATTTTGTGGGTATAAACCATATGGTCATGACTTATTAGCTGGCTTAATTCATATATTTTGTACAAATATTATAGCAAAATTACCTTGTAGTATGGCTGTGTGGGTGGGCAAAGGCACATTATAACATCCTAATTTTTAAATTAAGAAATTAATCGAGAGAAATATGTATGATTGAGGATTTATTTGTGAGATTATGTTAATTTAAAGTTTATTAAGGTTAATAAATAAATAGGAATCTAAATGTGTTGGTTCTTTAGGACTTAGAGTAGTTAAGTTACAGTTTAGTGATGGATTAAGTAGTGCATGATGATTATGTTTATCACCTTTTGTGATCAAACCATGCAGGTTAAACAGAGAGGGTAGACTAGTTTAAGTGAATTCATCCATCTGCAATTGTAAAATACATAGGCCATGATTGATTGCAATTGAAAATGTAGATAAAAGACTATTCCAAAAATTAGATTAGAATGTGTGAGAGAAGTAGGAGAAAGCAAAGGGGTGACTCTGTTAGGACACAATTTCTTAGAGCTTTAGAAAGGTTTAGAGCTTGGAGATCATTTGAGATAAGTGATAAGAGCTATCACACATGCTTCAAAATAGTTCTAGTTTTAGCCCTAATATAGCAAAGGGTCAGCCCTAGGTCATCTTCTTAGTGAGTCGCCTAATTTAATTACGAGGTTACCAAATGAATAAATTACCCAAGTGTTTGAGGTTTGAACTATACTAAGCTATCAAAAACACTACTAGAAACTAAGATAAAAGAGTAGGTAAATGGAATGAATTACCTTATGTCAATTATGGAGATCCTTAAGAATTTAATGTTAGAGATTTTATTACCCACTAAAGTGTGTAACTAATAACCCATTCCTCACTAAGTCAAGTTCCTCCTAGATTCAATTAAATCTAGTTGGATTAGTTAGTTAACCTAAACTAAATTCTTTAGATTAAGGTGAATATAGTCTTGGCTAAAGCTCCTAGTGTTTTCCCTCCAACTCTTGCCATGACCAAGCATGACTTTGACATAGAAATATCATAAAAGTATGTAATACCCTATTACAAGTCAATGAACTAGCTCACATGATTATGTAAAGGTAAATCCAAGACAAATCATATTAATTCAACACAAAATTATGCATTCAACTAATATGGCTAAAATTCATAGCATTGAACAAGGCAAAAGACTAGAGTCAACAAGCATTCTCTCATTA